AGCAGCGGCCCGAAAGGCAGAGAGCCCGGAAGCAGGCCAGCTCCGTAGAGGCAGGAGCGAACGGACTCCAGGGTGTCATAGATGCTCGGGTCCTTCACGGCGATGCCTGCCGGGGCAGAGGACAGACACAGTGGCTCAGGCCTGGGGCCAGATGTCTCTGCTGTTGCAGGGCACCAGGGGGCATGGGGTGAGGTGGGGGGTGGAGGAGGGGAATATTCCCTCCTGGTGACTACCTCGGTGGCCCCTTGATAAGTCTCAGCCTCTGAACCCCACTTGTCTCGCGTCACGTGGGTATTGTAAATGGGCTTCCTCAGGGAGACTGCTGGGACACCGGACGCAGGGACACCAGTGCTTCGAACCTTGGGAACATCTACCACTTCTCTTCTGAAAGGGTGTGTGCCTAAACCCAGGGTAGGGCTGTACTCCAGTCAGTGGTGGTCTTCCTTGCCGTCTGACTCATGGGGAGCCACATACAAGCAAAGAATAGAACTTCCCCACAAGGTCTTTCTATATATATAAAGAAACCTGTGACCTTTCAGAAGTAGAACGCCAGGCCTGTGGCTTCGAATGGCCAAGCCTTGGTTAACAAGTCAAGCCCATAATTGCTTGCACCACCCAGAGACTCAGTACTCATAGTGGCTTGCAGATCTCTTTGTACTTTGGCAGAAGTCACCCTCTGGATAAATCTGAGGGAGACACATGGCCCGGGGTGGGCGGGGGTATGGTCAGTAGATGGCCCTTCGAACCCCTGATCTACTCACCGTGCACCAGCCGCTGCTCCTGTACCATGAGGGATCTGTATTCTCCCCATTTCTCATACAGGGTTTGCTGCAAGACAGCCCCCACCCCAGTGTCAGGAGCTAGCATGCAACGGGTTAGCTATGGAAGCCGGCAGTCAACAACAAAAAAGAAGCCTCAAGGTTAAAAGGAAGTGTGGAGAAATGACCCTCCCTGTTCCCCACTCCCCCCCACCCACCCACCCCCCCACCCCGGCGAAAAAAAAAACCAAAGAGGCAGGGGCAGGGTGTGGGAAGAAAGAGGTAGACACTGGGTATGCTCTGGATGAGCTTACCTTCAGGTACTGCAGACGGGCCTCCAGCTCTGCCTTCCGAATGGACGTTCCATACAGAGTTTCCAGCCTGCGGAGGTTGAGGAATCAGAGCCGGAGTGAGCAGGCAGAGTGGAAATGCCCAGAGGCCCAGAGGCAGCCTTGGGGAACCACAGGGCCCAGACACACCTGAGAACATTGCCCGATGCTTTGATGATGTCCACGATCTCTCGATGCCGGATGCCTTCCACATTCAGGCCATTGACACTGGCAATGGTGTCCCCTGCAGGCAGAGAGGGCTCAGCATCTCTTCCATGGGCATAAGAGAAGACTCCCAGCCCCTTACTTTAGTCAGGGTGGGCGATACTCGGGTAGTCATTCCCCACTCCTAACCATTCTGCAGAGACCTCTCTGGTATCTGTCTCCACCCCCTTCTAAGCACATGTTCACAAAACCACAGCCAGCACCCACTGTCCATAGTCATGGTCTGGGTAGCAGCCCACATGGCCTCCAACCCTGGTTTGGAGGTGAGGGACTTCAGCGGCTCTTCTATGCCTGTCACTTCACCCTGCCTGCAGAAACGCTGTCCCCATGCACCGAGCCTTGTCAGCCCCACCCTCCTCTGTGACTGCCCCCAGAGTTGGTTACTTCTATCCAGCCCACATGTTGTCAAACCTGAGAGGGGGCAGGGTGAATAGTGTCATGCTGCAAACTAGCCCTGGCCTCAGGCATGGTGGGCCTGGCTTCTGCCACTCTGTGCCACAGCAGAGGCTCCTGACGGGGCAGGGCATGCCACTGTCTCTACAGGCTCCTTTCTCTGGTGACAAACAACTTTTGTAAAATTGCAATGTACCACTTGGCTACCAGGAACTTCTAGTAAGTGGGCAGGGAGGTGAGGGATTAGGGAGGAAAATGGTGATAGAATTGGAGTAGGGAGAGGGGAAGTGTTCAATTCATGACATCTGGGGGGGGTGGGATCTAGATTTGGCTGACCCCAGAAGAATCCTACAGGAGGCACTGGGTTCTTTTTAGAGGAAGCAACACCCATACCCCAGAGGTGGGCAGACTTCGGACAGTGTAAACCCTGATTCCCAAGGTCATAAAGAACATCAATGGAATCTGTTCTTTCAACTTCTGCACATCCTGGTCCCCGGAGGAGGCAGACTAGCAGTACCACCAGCAGCTACCATGTACTAGACATGAGCCCTGTGGCCAGGGAGCCCTGGGCTGGGAGGATGGATTCTTAGTCCCATTTTACAGATGGAACCGCTTAAGGTCACATAGTCAATGACAGATTTGCCTGGAATTCCGAGCCCAGATTCTATCTACCACCCTCCTTTCTGGCCTCCCCAAAGTAGGAAGAGGCAGGGGAATGGCCTTCAGGAGAGGTTTGTCACCCCCTCTTGAAGAGCCAGGTGTAGCCCTCCCCTCAGAGTCTAGTGTCCTGAGTCTCACCAGGGGTGAGCCCAGCCAGCTGGGCAGGGCTGGCGTCATGGACTCGGCAGACAAAGGTCACCATCTCCACACGCTGCTCCTCCCGGTGGTGAAGGCCATAGGTCTGTAACAGGGCAGAGAGGACACACACACTCAGCCCAGTGGCAGAGTGGGACTTATCCTGCTCCCAGGCTGACCTCCCCCACCCACTGGGTTCTCAGCTTTTCCCCACCTGGATCTCAAAGCCGAAGGTCTCCTTATCCCCCTTCTCCAACGTCAGCACTTTCCTGCAGCAGACACAGGGGGCGGGTCAGGAACAGAAAGGAGCTTTCACTTCCATCCCTAGCCAGGAAGGCTCCTTGGAGGGGAGTCTGCTCTCGATCATCCAAGGGCTGATGGGCTCCAGAGACTGCTCCCTCTCCATCAGATTGCTGGAAAGGCCTTCCCCAGATGCAGCCTCATCCAGTGGCCCGGGACAAATCCCACCTCCAGTGGTGGGAAGCACCCAGGCTGACGGGCTGAGCCCCAGTGGCAGGCCCCTCAGCACTACCTCCTTCTGATGAGCCAAGGCCTCACATTCAGGCCCAAGCCTGGAGCCTTCTCTGCTCCACAGCTTGGGGGGGCTGGCCCCACCCCTAGGGGCCAGTCACGAGCTTAGCCCAGACCACAGCTGCTCCTCCCAGCTGCGGTGGGGCCAGCCCACCAGATGTGAGGGCTGGGGGGAGGGGAGCCCGCCCGGAGGCCAGCCCTTCCCGCACTGAAGGCCTGCCCACTGGACACAATGGTCTGGAGCTGCTCCAGCCCCTGGCCTGCTGAGGGAGCCCAGAGTTTCCTCTGCCCACCCCGCCCCCTTCCTTCCCGCCCGGCTAGAGACAGACTAGAGGCAGCAGCCAGAGGCCCCCCCTCAAGCATCCCAGCATCAGGATGGCCCAGGCCCACAGCTCAGGACCCTTCACCCCACTTCAAATACTGGGTAGCAAGTCCCAGGTCCACCCACCCCTGCTCTCTGTGGAAGGGCAGGCCTTTCCTTTCAGGAGGAACTGAAGCAGGAGGGGGAGGGGTGGCTGGAAGTTGGGGTGGACCCCAGCACACACACCCCCCACCCCCCCCACCCCGGCTTTCTGGAGGGGTTGGCAAATCTTGTCTGTAAAGAGCTGAAGAGTCCATGTTGCGGGATGAACAGGCCCAAACAGCAGTCACATACTGTTCTTTGTTCTTTTTCACCACCCTTCAAATGTGTAAAAAGCCACTCTTAGCTCAAGGGCCAGACAAGCCATCTGGCCAGGAGGCTGCCGTCGGCTGACCTGTTTCAGAGCTGCGAGGCCCAGGTTGGGGCTGGAACACAGGCAGAGAAGGAGACTGTGGGCTCCCAAGGCCTGGGTCAGTGCTGACTTCTGCCCACACCTCAGACCCTTCCTAGGAAGCTGCCTGGGTTTGGGGCCAGCATGGACGGAGGCACTGGAGGCAGGGACAGCCAGGCCAGGAGGCCGCTGGGCCCACAGGATTTGCTGGGGACCAAGAGGCCTGAGTAAGGCCTTTCCCTGTTCCAGAAGTCCTCTCTGACTTCCCCCACCTCCTGTGGGGTGGGGGGGGGTAACTGGCAGGGACTGGGGGTGGGTTGAGGAGTACCTGATGACTCAAAAGCCCCCCCCTTTCTCTGCCCCCCCCACTTCACACAGCCCACACCCCACCTGCCCCTCACTCCCAGCAGGAGAGCCAGGCTTGAAGGGTGAAGGATGCCGCCCCCTGGCTGTCATGCTCCCTTCTCCCCCACCCGCAGCACCTCTCGCAGGACCGGGCCAGCCAGGGCCTGGGGGTGTGGTGACTCACCGCTGCTGTTCAGGACTCTGGCTGAGGCTCTTCCAGCGGAACCCGGAGCCCTGGGCAGGAAGAGGGGGCTGACCTTGAGCAGCTGCTCAGGGCCCTCGGTGCTGGGAGACCCCCTCACCTAGGGACCAAGCACTTCAAGTCTGTGACCTGTCTGTCCCCAGCCCCAGCTGCACACCTGCTGTGGTGGAACTATTTGCTGAGCAAGCTCCATTATTTGTAACATTCCATAGCTTTCTGCCCATAATAGCCCTCCTGGGTTCCTGGTTTGTGAACCCCAACCCCCCTGCTGATTTAGGAGGTGTGGTGCTAATTACTCTAGCAGGGTTTCTCCTGAACCCTAAAAGCCATGGTAGAGGCTTCTCCTCAGAAGGGATTCCAGTAAGGGCAGGGGGTTCCTCAAGAACTCACTACCATGGAGTCAGTGGGGTCTCTCCAAGACCCTACAGGGCAGGGTAGAACACCCACCCACCCCTCCCCTGCTCCCCCAGAGACTGTAACTCTTTATGGGAGTACAAAGCCTCCTTTCTCCCTCAGAGCAACTGGTGGTTTTGAACTGCTGACCGTGGGGCTCCCAGCTCACCCAGTAACCACTACACCACCATGACTCCTAGGGGCCCCCTGAGCTCACCTTTATCAAGGCACTCTGGGGAACCCCAGCCACACGGGTCACACTCTACCTCCCGTCACAGAAAGGGGCTTCAGAAAGGTTGGCTAGGGACACCAGGACTGTAAGACCCAAATCCCAGACTCAACATGAAAGGGCCAGGGCAGAGGAGAGGCCCCTCAAAACAAGAGACTTCTCGGAGCCCAGGTGTGGGTCCCAGCTGCAGGTCCAGGTCCACCTGGGAGACGGACCTTGTTGTGCTTCTTTGTTCCTTTCTCGGACAAGAAAAAAATCTCAGAACTGAAACTTATCTCTTGGTCTGACTATCTGAATATCAGTACTAAGGACTGAGGTCAGGAGGAGGGAGGAGGGGAGTTGAAAGTTGCTAGTCTTTCAGTAACCTCAGGCAACTAAAAGAGTTTCACCACCACCCCCTCCAGCGTTAAATTATTGTTCCCTGAAGGAAGCCTGTCCCAGCCCAGGCCTTTCCCTACATGCCCAAACAGCTGAGGCCTCCCTGGTTTGTGTCTTGTGGCCAGGACAAGAAAGGTAGGAGAGTGAGCCCTCTTTTTCCGGAACCAAGGATTAGCCTCAGGGGTGGGGAGACCTCCCTAATGGGCCAGGGCGGAGGGACTGGGCTGCATAGAGAGACCCCTTTGTCTCCGCACACGATTTTCATAAAATGCAAATTCTCAACAAGCTGTTCATTGTGTGTGGGGGGGGTAAGCAGGGGGGCTGGGGAGGAGGAGGAGGAGGAGGGTGAGCTTGAACGGGGAAAGGCCACCAGCCCCTCTTAACCTGGGTCTACGTCCCAGCCTGAGCCTAGAGGAAGCGCCTCACGGAGAGGGCACTCGGAGGGCGGTGCAGTCTGCATCCTTCCTGCCCTGCGGGTGCCTTGAGACCCCTCCCGCCGTGTCCGGTCCGGCCAGAGTCCAGGGGCGCCGTGGCCCGGTCACCCAGACGAGCCGCAAAGCAGCAGGCCCGGAACGCAGGAGTGTGTGTGGGGGGCACCCCTTCGGAAGGGTGTGCTTTTCCGAACTATCGTGGCCCCACGCACTTCCACCGCATGAGAACTCACAGTCCAGCCACCCTCCCACCCTTCCCCACCCAGTGCGTTCGGACCCTCAACCTGCCTGGGGCGAGCGAGTGGCAGGACCCATCTCTAGCCCCTCTCCTCGTTTCCAACTGGGGGAGAAGAGGGGAGAGGGGGTCCTGAGACACCTGGACCTGGGGCGGCGGGGCGGGACGCGCCGAAAGCCAGATGGAGCGAGGAGAGCGGGGATGTAGCTGAAGGAAGGAGGGGGTGCGAGACCGGGGACAGTGGGTGGGGACTGGAGTTAAGAGCCACCAGGACTGGAGGCGGAGGGGGGCGCGGAATGGAGGCGGGGGGCACAGCCTTCGGAGCAGCAGGAGCCGTGGGTGCGGAAGGTTGGAACCTTCTGGGGAGGGGGCGGAGTGGGGTGAGCACGGTTCAGAACACGTCCATGGGGGGCGGGGGAGCGGTCAGCGGGCTGGGGAAGAAGGGGGCGACTCGGTGGGTTCCAAGGAGGGCGTGTTGTGGGGTCAGCAGGCATGAGTGGGGTGCTATGGGACTCCCCAGGTTCTAAGGAGGGGACGCTGGGCACCCTGAGCGCTGGGGGCTGCGGGGGTTATAGGGTGGGGGGGACGCACCTTTCGGCGGGGCAGGGTACCCCCAGACACGGCGAGCGCCCGGTACAGCTCGGCGGGATGGTAATCCTCCAACGCCGCGTACAGCTCG